TCTAATTGATTAATTTTTCCAATAAGATTACATTTTTTTTCAATTTGAGTTTTGCATTTTTTTCTCAAATAATTGAGTGAACATCTCACTTTTAAGAACAAAGTGAATAAATTCACAATAACTCTTCTACGCAATACAGAATAATTCTTTCCATTCGAAAAATATACTATACAAATATATAATTATGATAGTTACTCATTTTCAACTCACTTGGCGAGTAAAATACCGAGATACATGATCAGTCTCTTAATGTTCAAATAAATTCGAAAATTAGTTTATAATCTTCTCAATTAAAAGACGGAAAGTTACAATTCCGCTTGAATAATTTAATAATTGCATTTAATGCCTTATTCCTGAAATAGAAAACCCTTTAATATAATATATTAGCGAATATATATATCATGTCACATTGTTCAGCCAAAACAACACATTTCCTTTTATTCATAATACCATTTAAAAAATTATTCACAAAAAAATAAGAAATTGTGTGGGAAGAAATAACAGTTATGTGCTTGTTTTTATTTTTTTTTTTTTGCAACATAAATAACTATTTATATAACTGTTATATTATTATAATTATACTTGTGACATCTTAAGAAGAAGTAAAAAAAAGGAAACGAAGAAAAACATACATTTTGCTGTTAAATACTTTTGATTCATTTGCATATTTTCTCTGCGCTACTTATTAAATGCATTTTTATACATGATATAAACATATTATACATATATACATATATATACTTACATAGTATAATACACAGTTTTACTTAAATACATTCATAAATGTATATTTTATTTAACAAAGTAAGTATATTAACAAATATAAATGAAGAAAATTTAAAATCCTTAGTGAATGAAAATTTCTTATGTAAATAAATTCGTTGTATACGCGAATTTGATCTTGTTATTTTCAAAAGCAACATATAAAATGGAATAACAAAATAACAGAATAGAATCAAACATTCTTCTTTTTTATTTTCAATAAGTATTTACATAAAAACTTGTATTATTATACAAAAATTCAAAATTTTAGAATAAAGATGCATTTTCTTTATTATACGCTTACATCCAAATTGCCAAATTGCAGTATGAACTTTAGAATACAAAAAGTATTTGCACGATAGGTTGACGGCGTATTGAATAAAAAAGTTGATTTTATAAACAATAAGGTGCTGATTTGGTATGTGAAAAAAATTAAGGTTTAATCGCATATTAATTAACCGAAAATAATAAAATTTACTAAACATCTTACAACTTTCGGTCTGCAATTATTTTTGCGGGAGTTTGAACAGTTGATTTTTTATGTTATTTCCACGTAAATTCTGAGCTCCATCAGGTAATTTCTATTTAGCAAGTAAATAGATGTCTGACTTTGTTATAGGTTCAATGTTATGTTTTTTTGTATATGTAATCGTCAGATATGTAATTCAAATTTATTCAAATTGTTAAGATTTCAACATAAAAAAAAATCATTTTGCTGTATTAAATGTTTAAAATTTTATTGTTTGCAAAAAATATTTAATAAGTTACAAAATCTTTTTTTGCATTCCGAGTATATTCTGTAATTCCACGCAAAAACAGTAAAGAAATTAACAAAAATATTCCAGACATGCTAAGTTATCGAGCAATACTCGTATTTTATAAGTTTTCGGGCAATTTTGACATAATCGTATAACAATTACTAAAAATCTAATATGATAATATTAAACTTTCTTTTATGAATTATGATAAAAATGTAAGTATATATTCAAACATCTAGATAGAAAATTATTTCTAAAATCAAGGTTTCATTTAGTTCGCAAATCTTTTGTTGGGAGAATTAAAAATTTCCGCAATGCATTTTTAAATAAAATATTGATTTCAGATACAGACTAGCATTTTGTATCTCACATTTTGTGATCACAATTACATACCTACCTTAATGACACAACTAAATAATATAATGTAGTCAGACCGCATTTTAGATGTCAGTTAAATTGTACTCTTATATTATAATATATGCGCTTATGTGTGTACATTATGCAATATGTACGAGATTATAACGTCTTTGTGCATTTTATATAAATATTCAAAAAATATCAAAAGACTTATCTAAATAATGTTATTTCTATTTTTTGATGTCGGTACCATCTTTTTTTGCACAATATGATGTGTTAATATACATGATATAACATATATGCACTTATATAATATGATTGCATACTTTTGAAATATAATAATGTTATTTTATGCTTGAGACGTTAAAATTCTTTATTGAATTGAATATAATAGAATAGAATGAAGAGACAAGTGATTTTGGCAATATATTAGTTTTTTATGTGAGTATTATTCGAATAATATAGTAATAGAAATTTAGACAATACACAATAATATATACATTGTATATATGATTCTTTGCCTATAGAAATGTATATATAAGATTAAAGGATGAAAGTTTCAAATAAAAGAACGTAATCGTTCTTTTGCATATTAAATATTTTTTTTGTTTTATAAAATTTTTAATGATTATTTTTTTTATTGTTTGTTAGTTAAAGGTGATAACGTTATTGTTGTTTTTGTTTACATAAAGCTTGTAATGTCGATTGCTTCTTGAGGGACCTGGTATGTTGAAGTATGAACTCTTTATATTATAAATATTCATTTAAATTTTCATTTAACATTTTCAATAAAAATTCAATTAATTAAAGTAAATCTCAATTCAATGACTCTTATGACATCTTGTGGCAAAAAACAAAAGTTAAATATTGAAATATATTTCACGGTTTATAAGAAAACATCGTATGACGTATAGCCTTCCTTTACTCCAATTTTATAAGTTAAGTCGTTTAAGTTCTTAGGCTGCTGAATCTTTGTAATATAACTTAGAGTAGGTAGCAGTTGTTTAGTGTTTCGTTATGGCTCTGTATTATAAAATTTTTATTAAACTAATCATATATGTAGATTGACAACTATGAACGTAAAAATTTTTTATTTAACAACTTAATACCCAAAACACATTATATGCACTTTTTCAATAAAAATTTTTTTATAAGTACTTAATAAATTTTTAAAGCAAACCTTCTTTAATGACAATTACCTTACATAATGAAAAATTAAATCAAAAAATAAAATTTTAAATAACTTTAAAATATGTTTCGTATCTCGTGTAAAATTACTTTAAATCGCGACTTTATAAAAGAAAAGTTAAAAAGAATATTTTTATAGTATCCATTAACACATATCTGTTACTTCCTTAAAAAAAATTCGAATTATTATAGTATCTTGTACATTGAAAATAAAAAAGAATAAAATCTTATTACGATATTAACATTTTAACACTCTTTAAATTACTCAGAATTATAACCCAAGTATATAATTTACAAATATTTATGTACCGTGTACTTAATATACATTGTATATATTATTAAAAATTTTATGTACTTTTCAAAAAAAAAAAGAAAAAAAATTAAATTATAAATAAAGCAGCTATACAATAATATTACCTTTTAACCTGGTGAAGAGACCTTAAATAAATACCCGTAATGTCATAACTTTTTCAAATAATTTCAATGAATTGGTTAATGGTTGTTAAAATTTTTAAATCAACGTTAAATGATTTTAAAAAGAAGTGATTAAAATAAATAAAAATAAAAATTTTTATAGGTAATATACAGGGTGTGTTACTCTTGAATAATAACTTATCTATTATTAATTATTACCCTATTATTTCCTAATAATCGATAGGCCTCCTGGCGATGTCTCGGAGGGATATTTCCTGCTTAACGACAGTCACACAATGGCTCGCTGTTGCCGGGAAATGAACAAAAAGTTTTAATTATCTCTGCGAGTGTCCGGCTCTGGGCTAGGCTGGGCTTGTCTGGACAAGATATGAAAAATTAAGAATATGGACAAGATATGGGATTTAAAAAGATTCTTCAAGATCACTGCCATAGTGATAACCCTGCTGGCACTTGCCACGTCAATCAACCAACCAACAAATAAGTTTTGATCGTTGAATTATATTGTTTTTTTTTTGTATGACAATAAAAAATAATATTCCAATAATATTATATTATTTAGCGCTTTCAGAGAGCCGGGCTCGATAATAGATAAAATTGGCAATTGGAAACTAGGCTTTTTTTCAATAACATTAATGTGAAGCAGGTTTTTTAGACTCGTTTATAATCGTTAATGTTTTGAATAATTTTAAGTATATTTCCTTCCAAATAAATCAGAAAAAACTTACTGCCTCTGTTTCTCAACTTACGTCAATACATGTAACTGTGATTACGAAACATATATTCTTTCTTTCCTTTTAAAAAGAGAACAGTAAGTTTTGGGTATAAAACTTCATGTTTAAGGCTTGTTTCTTTATCACCTTGTACTTTTGCCATATAAGTATTGTTAATGTTGATATGTATGAAACTATTGATATGTAGATGTACAGCTTTTCTCTTTTATAAAGTCATTAATATAATTGCCATTGGTTTAGTAATTTAGAATGAATAAAAAGAACTATTATGGTAGATTAAATTTTAATTTATTTTGATTTCTATATGCTCATATCATTACTTTAAAATTTATCAAATTAAAAAGAATTTGGAACGTAAAAAAGTTATAATTAGAATTTTAAGCTTTAAATAGATGGAAGATAGAGGAAGAATAGAAAAAATTTTTTTTTTATTGGAAACTTTTTAACCATTATTTTAATCTCATTGCCGACTTTTGAGATTTGTCGAGAACAAAAATAAAAAAACAGAAATCAGTAATAAAAAATAATTTCCTTCTTTCACATTAGAACTAACTAACTATACGTTAGCAATTGGGTAAATACTTCGGTAAGCATTTAGATTATTGACTATAAAATCAATTCATCAACAAAATAAAATTGAAATTTAAAAGAGAACAGGAAGAGAACAAAGAAAAATTTATTTATTATCTTTGATTTTTCTTTTTCAATTGGAATTTTGTTTAATTCTTTCCTTTTTATTCGATGAAAACAAAAACACAAAAAAAAGGACATGGAAACAGAGTTGAAAGTCGAAAATAACGCAAAGAAATCCGATAGTATTAAATCAATTTTTCAAGGATTAACATTTATACTGGTTTTCTATTTACTTGTATTACTTGGATTCCCGGGATCTTCATCATCCTCATCATTATTGTCGTTACCATCATCAAATGCAAAACAACAGGAAATGGAATTACATGAACCGAAAATTTTGTCTCGAAAACGTAGATTCTTAGCTTTTCCATACGGATCGTCATTCTCAGTAAGTATATTGAAAAACAAATTGCCAATTTTATTATAAAGTATATTGAGAAACGTTTTTTAAAAATTCTGATTAAAAATAATTTATTGTAACATTGCAATTATTCTTCTAATATGCGAATCATCATGAATTTATCCTTTTTAAAGGCTACAATTTGTACCACAATAGGAATGTATGGTAATCCAAATTATAATTGGATAAGTTATGCCCTAAATTTTGGTGTATCATATAATTTACCAAATGAAACATGGGTTGTGGATGCTGCACATGGTTTTGGTAATTTAAAATCAAATGATGGTACATCAACCGGTACAGGATCAACAGGTGCTGAATTAATTGAAAAAAGACGTACTCGTAGAGATTTATATAACAGAATTGAATTAATAATTAATAGGTTCGTATATTTTTCAATTGATATATTTATTATACAGACAAGCCAATTTTTAATAATAATTAAAAGCCGAAAATTGTTATTTAATTCTTAGAATGGGTTTCGATGGTCAACAATGCATTTTAAGAGCTCTTTGTGAGGCATCAAAATTATTCTCTGATTTAAAAGGTACAATGGTTGAAGAAATGGTTAAAACTATATTTAGGTGAGCATTAAAATTTTCCTTTATTCATTTCAATACATTCAAAAAACAAATTAATAAAATTCAGTTATCCTGGTCGAAGAAGATATGTTAAAGATGAATTAATTGATACTGAACGTTATAAGGATTTTACATATCAGAGAGCATTTCAAAGGGGTCATGCAATCGAGTATATTTCGGATTGTATAAATTTCTATCCAAATTGCACATTTTCCCTTATAGATTTAGCGTTCGGTAAATATTCAGTAAGACCAACAACACTTATGAAAAAAAATAATTATTCATTTATGTGATAAGCAACAGCCGTAACATACATAATTTATTTGTAGTTTTGTATTTAAATAATAACCTATACATTTATATCATGTATTTCTAGTAAGATTAAAAATTTTTTACAATTTTGTCGATGTTATTTCATTTGTTTCTAATTAGTTAATTAAATTTGACTGGAGTAGCCAAAGGATCATAAGTTGATGAAAACTTTGGTTGTGGCAAATGTGATGGCGGTGGTTCCGAATATTTTCCAAATGCCAAATCAAGTAATGAAAAATTACATCCATCATAAATTAAACTGCAATCATCTATTTTGTCACCGGTACGATAAGCTTCATCATATTCCTCAAAATCTGATGGTTCAAATGAAAATAATTTTGTTTTTGGTAAGCTGGAATAAATATTGAAATATTTAAAAATTTTTAATTTGAAAATATTTTAGGCGAATTTGTAATTATTTACCTAAATATTGTCCTAACTATTTCCTCTAGCATAGTTTTCTTTGTTTTTCTGGTAAAGAATTGAGCACTTTCGCATAAGGCTCTTAAAATACAATCTTTCCCATTGTATCCCATGCTGGAAAAGTATAAATAAAAGTGTTAAAGTGGAAAGAAACTAAAATAATTGTAAAATTCTGAATTTTAGGTGTTTTGATTCGGTAAGATTAAAGTCCTGCCGAACATATTACAAAAATTGAAAGGGTTTAAGTATCATTGAGTCAATTACTCCGATACTAACGTTTTTTCAATAAAAAATTCAATTTCTTTGTAAAAGCTTCGTCTTGTTTCACGTTTAGAAATTGCTTTTGTTGCTTTATCATAATAGTAATCATCATGAAAATGGTTATGGTCTGGTATATGATAATCATGTTCATTCTTAATAACTGGTTCTTGATTAATACGATGTTTTTTAAATTTTTGGAATTTATTTAAAATCCATGTTGAATTTGGTAAATCGTATGCAAGACCCCAATTTAAACCAAAACTCATATAACTTGGATCAATATTACCAATAATACCGATTGTCGCACATATAGCACATGTAAAAGATGCTCCCTCCGGAAAAGATAAATATCTACGAACTCTTTTTTTAGGTGTTTGCCTTCTCTGTTGTAGTTGAATTGATTTCTCATTGTTAGACGTTATTGTTTCTAATATTGTGGACTTCGATTTTAATGTTATTGATTTTTCATTAGAATTCATTAAACTATTATCATTTTCCTCATAATATTGTTTATTATAATTTTCATAATATGATGAATTATTAATTGAAGATTTTGAAATGAAGTCATTGGTATCAGTATTGTTATTATTATCGTTATTATTTTCCAATTTTAATGCATTTATATTAACAAATTTAAGAAATTGTTTACTTATTTCAAATAAAATTATATTAATACATATAAAACGTATGACAACAATAAATATTATTTTATATTTACGGAAAAACTTGCAATTCTCCATGTATGTGATTTTTTAAATTAAATCTAATCAATTCTAATTCTCAAATTAAAAATTTTTTACTTAAAATAAAATATTCAAATAAAATCAAATTAATATTTTAAATTTTTGATTTTAATTTCGAAAAATTTAAGTAATACGGGAATAATATTAAATTTTTTAAAATAATTATTATATTGTCTTGTGTAAGGTAATCTCTAGCTCATTTTTGATTATAATTTAAAGCAAATTTGATTTTTTTATCACGTTTCAATTTTTAACAACTTCACTAACAACTCACTCATTCAGCATGCAACTCTACACTTATCAAAACACTTATTAATTAAATATGTAGTTGGTTTTTAATATTAATAAGAAACTGCAAAGCAAATTGCATTCAGTTATCAATAATAATTTTCAATGAACAGTTTAACAAACGTTATTTAATAATTAGAGTAAAATGGTGTAAAAAAATTAATGTATGTGCTTCTTAGGTGCATCTAAATAAACAAATAATATGAAATTTTGTATGCATTATGCAAATTTTCTGAATTCATAAATAAACTACAATATAATAAAATTGAAGTTGACTACAACTGCAAAAATTTCCTACGAGTATTCCATTACACATTATGTTTACAATAATATTGTGTGGAAATTCAAGAACAAAAATTTTCAATATAGTGAGTGAATCGAAAGAACTTGTATTGTTTAAAGAAAAAATCGATTTTATCAATTTTTAATTATAAAAATATGCATATTAAATTTGAATTGAGAAAATTGAGAAAATTTTTGATACTTACGAATCAATGATTGTTTCAATATTATTGTACAATTCTCTTCGATTACGTCTTAAAATAATTTGCCTTTGTTTCGGTTTTAATGATTGTTTTCTAATTTGATGAATAATCCATGTAGCATTCGGTAAATTAAAAGTAAATCCCCAATTAGTTGATATACTAATTTGTTTATATGGTGGCTTAAGTAAATATTCAGTTATAATACCATGAGTCATACATATAGCTGCCTAATTAATAGAAAAATTCAATGAAAAATTTAACAGATTTATAAAATTTAAAATTTTTTTTATATACCGCCATTGTAGCACCTTCTGGGAATGCTAAAAATCTTCTTTTTCTTGAAAGAATTTTTACTGAAGTTGTATTGTGCGAAGAATATGTTTCTGTAGCATCTATGACCCAAGCTATTATTATTAAAATTAAAATAGAAATCCATAATGGGAATGTTGCTATTAATATTTTGATATTCATTTTTTTTTAATTTGTTTTTTTTTTTTAAATATAAACTCAATTGAACTGCAGGTTAGAAAACTTTTTATTATACTATTATAATTTTTTATTAAAATTTTTTCAATTGAAAATAGAATGGCTATACTTAATTTATCTGTTAATTAAATTAATTTATTTTTTGTTATTTTCTTTATTTTTTGTTTTTGGTATTTATTGTAGGTTTAAAAAATAAATTTGAGTGGTATTACAACAATGAGTCCATGATTTAAGAGTTCTAACATATAGACTATTGCGGTTGTATTTAGTCTTCTCCTTTTCTCTTTATCTTTTATAGTATTTAATCGTCATACATAAAACTGTTTTCGGTTATTTAAAATTCTACCAATTTTCTGAAAGAGGTAAAACAAAATTGTAAACTTGCAGGGATCCAGCAAAACTTCTTGTTTAGCTATTTGTGAATAAGTACGAATTATAATGAAAGCTTTTCTAAACAAATTAATTAATATAACCACGTTTCATCAACGTAAGGAAACAATTATGTAAGAATGACTGTTAAGTATCCTATAGCATCGAAGAAATATCGAAATGTTGTTCTATTTAATAATTTATGAATCATACACATATACATATATTAATATTTATAAGTATTATAGTGACAAAAAAGTTTATGAGAGGTGAAAGTGACCTAAGAACCGAATAAATTTTATTTAATGGAATTTTTTTTGTATTTGATTTTAAGAGTACAATAACCTTGCATTAATCATAAATTACAAATCGCAAATTTGCGAAATTGAATTGAAATCATGTTTGAGATTACAATCGCAAACATGATTTGTGTTTTAGTGCTTCAAAACTGCAAAATGTGTGTAAATATGAGCACTTTGACGCAAATCAAATTCTTACCTACCTTTTGATGAGTAATCAGCAAAAAATCTCAACGTTCATTTTTCTGATTTTACACAATAAAACATATTCCATAGACTTTTGTTTCATTTGATTAGAATTTTATAAAATTTTGAATTGTAAAAATCAATGTATTAAGTTTGATCAGAAAATATAGAATATCATCGGATAGATCAGTTGATCTATCCATATTTAACATGGAAAGTTTAATTATAAATGGCCATTTAAATTTTAGTTTTAAGGAATAATTTTGTTAGATAAAGCAGAATGGCTTGAAGTTTATGAAAAATTTCATTGGATTTAATTTGGAACGTAGTAGCTAGCCTTTTTGTTTAATTATAGTCTATTAAATCAGATGTAAACTTAAAACAATAATATTATATAAATAGTGTTATGTCAACACTACATTTATAAACCGTATGTTTTCGGAGCGCTGGAATTTTCAACAATTGCAATAAAAACTGAAAATATTAAATTAAATATATTTTACTTTCAAAAATGAGTATGGTTTTTTAAATTTTTTAACTTTTAATTTTATTCGCTTTCGTTCAGTACAGCTATGGTTGAAATTTAAATGAATTGAAAGATGTTGGAAACTTCAAATTCGGTGGCGGCTCAGAATATTTTCCAAATGCAAGGTCTAATACTGAGAACATACATCCTCTATAAGTTGAACTACAATCGTTTATTTTATTTCCAAAACGATAAGCTTCATCGTAATCCTTTAGTTCTGACGGTTCAAATGAAAATAATTTATCCTTTGGTAAACTAAAAATGTTATAATTACAATTTATGATTGGAGTTTTTCGAATAAAATTTAAAAATTTTTACCTGAATATTGTTTTAACAATTTCCTCTAGCATTGTAATTTTCGTTTTCTTACTGAAAAATTGAGCGCTTTCACATAGGGCTCTTAAAATACAATCTTTTCCATTATATCCCATACTAATTACGCGAACAAAATAAAAAAATATAAGAAAAAATTTTTTTGTGTATCAAAAACTCTTTTAACTAATTTGTTTGAAATGGGTCCATAAAAGTATTCAGAAAAAAATTGGTCACACATTTGAATTCTATTTCAGGAATATAATGTGAATTTTTTCGTGTTTAAGAGTCGAAATACAAAAAAAAATATTTTAAGAGCTAATTGAGTATGCCAAAACACTTAAGGCGCTGATATGGTAAATTAAATTATATTTAAAAACTTCAAATACTACGTATTAACACACACACTATTCCACTGAACCATTGCTTTTAAAAACAAAATCACCTTGAAATTTTAGTGTCTATATAAAATAAAATTGATTTGATCCAAATAGATTTTTTAAAACTTACTTGTCAATTATTATTTCTATTTTATTATAAAGTTCTCTTCGGTTCCGTCTTAAAATTATTTGTTTGTGTTTTGGTTTTAGAGATTGCTTACGTAGTTGATGAACAATCCACGTAGCATTTGGTAAATTATACGCTAAACCCCAATTTGTTGCAATACTTATTAAACTATATGGATACCCAGGAAATAAATAGGTAGGTACATAACCATGAGTCATACAAAGTGCTACCTAAAACAATTCAATTAAAAAATCTGAATTAAAAGTTATTAATTCTGGTATTGTAATTAAGGAAGCCTTGGAAGAAAAATAAAAAAAAAGTTATTCTTACCGCAATTGAAGAACCATCAGGAAATGCTAAAAACCGCCTTTTACGTGAGAGAATTTTTAATGAAGTTGTATTATCTGATGAGGATATTGTAAAAACGTTTAATAACCAAATCATCATTATTATAATGAAAATTGAAGATCGTATTGGAAATGAGAATTTCAATAATTTTGAATTCATTTTGAAAAATTTAACCGTATCGAAGTGTAGATTTGAAATTTTTACATTTAACTATAATATTTTTGTTCAAGCGATTAAATTTCGTTTTATTATTATACATCTAGAAATGTTATTCTAGTATTCGAAGTTGTTAATTAAATTAAGAATTTTTCGTTGTAATGTCGCGTGTTTCTTGTGTACAATGACCTTAAAAATTTTTAGATTTTTTTTCTTTTTTCTATTTTAATTTGAGACAGATTGTAGGTGACTTATTTTTAAAAATTTTTCTCACAGCAAAAACTATTTCCAGAATAGTTCTGGTAGATCATAAAAATATAGTATGCCAATTCAAATAATTGTTGACGTAGATAGCTTCTAAAGAAAAGTGGAAGTAATATGTGTTATTAATATAGGTTTGATATAAATTGACCCTTAATATACTTGTCAGTTACTTAGCTTTTGTTTATTCAAGGTATTTATACATTTAATCAATAATTTCTCAGTTAAAAGTGGAATTTTCAATATAGAATTGCTACTCCAAATTTCTCAATTATTAACACCTAAACAGTCTTATTCTTATTCTTATAATCTAATAACTATTAAATGAGAAAAATCACAGTGTATAGCAGATTTCGGGAAATCCAAAATTTAAAATATTTTGGTTAACTACTCAATATCATTTACTTTGTATTGCAAGTAGTATGAACTAAAAGGAAATATTGAGTAGTTATTTACCTGTTCTTCGTTCTAATTTCTCTCAAAATAAAGTAGAATAAATCGATATCGAAATTATTAGAGCGTATAAATTCAATTGATGTAAAAAAATTTTTTTTAAACAGGATATTTAACAATGGTATGTGCC